TTTTTTTAATATTTTCAAAATTATGTAATTCAAATTCTTATATATTTTTATACATCCACACAAGAAAAGTTTCATCAATGAATCCTAAAAATTCATTTTTTAAGCTTTAGTTTGATATAAAACTTGTTTACATTCCTCAAAGTTGAAAATTTGCTAAATCTGAAAAAAAGTCCTAAGCTAAACTTGATGTCTCTTTTGTTTAACACACCAAAGATATATCAAACCTGCATATACAATCGTTTTTATTCGTTTCACTATATCGTAAGTTACAAAAACACATTTTTAGTGGGGTAAATATTTCAAGTCGGCGATTTAGCCTGACCCTAGGCTGCCTAAAAAATTGGCCTGCAGAGATATCATTTTAGTCGAGGTTCGCTTCATTTAGTCGTAGTGCAAGTCGAAGTTCGTTTTAAGAATACGAAATGACGTAATTTTTAAGTTTTAGCTCGAACTACGACTAAAGTTTGTTTTAAGAATACCAGGGTTAATTAAAATAGGTCATTTATTTTATGAATTTTAGCATGTATATTGCGGGCAATGAATTTATTTTTGAGGATGAATGAATGTCTTGAATCTTGAATCTCACTAATACCACATCAACTACTAATAAAACAAGAATCAATTAATTTGTTGGTAGTATATGGAAAAGAAGAAATTCTTCAAATTAAATTCAATGATTTACAAACTAATTATCATATTTTTAACATCACTGAGTCAAAGGATGCTGGTAATCATGAATTTCCGCAATTTTCTGGCCGCTGCAATAATCTCCCACTCTCTGATGTTCCCAGCTCGACCCTACTCTTCACAAAATTTAGCCTAGGTCTACCTTTACCTCTCTTTTCAGTGACGTAACTAATTTTATATTTATTTAAAACATTTAATTATACAATGTATACACCTTCTAAGTTAGCAGATGCACCAAAAACTCAAGTCAGAGGCTTTTTATTTAGTATTATGCATTGCAAATTTAAAATACAAAATATAGTCAATAGACAACAACCAATGACTAAAACCTACATCCTACAGTGTGATATATACTATACATGTAGTTCACATTTGGTGGCAATCCATGATAGAAGTAAAAGTATGTATAAAAATACTATAGTTGTGTACATACCTCCTTGGTGTACTATTATACCTCGTTTTCTTTTTCCTAGATTATAAAGAAATTATTTGAATCATTATCAACAGTGAAATGTAAAAATTGTTTTATATTTCTAAGATGTGTGCTTACCATCTACTATCAACAAAATCATATAGATCAATGACAAGTTATAATCTAAAAAAAAAAAAAGATTGTTGTACAGTAATATGAAAAGAAATTATCACACAGCTTAAAATACCCTGGTATCGCAAGAGCAATTTAAAATTATGTCAAAAAAATGCATGCTAAGTACAACCAATGAAATTAAGAAATAGCCTCTTTCCTACTGTACACTAGCCTTCCACCTAGACTAGCAGCTGTGTAAAATCACCTAGCGAAAGAGTTCTGGTGATGGGATTATTTTATCCAGGCCTAGTTTAGAATGCCAAAAATCCTTGTCGGTTTTGTCTAAATGTACATATGAATTAATCAAATGTGTTCTGAAGAATTTACGAAGCACCATTCAGAATTTCAATAATTTCATGAGTTTGCCTAGCCTTGGATTACAAATATCAGTGAAATATGTTTCACTGAGGCCATTCTGAAAAGTTGCCTGTTCACCAGGTAGGCAAAAAATTATCTAGTAGTGATTTTTTTACTAAGTATACATAGGCCTTCTTTGTTTTCATAATAGCCTATTACAAGCAAGTCAATCACCAAAAAAAAAAACATCAGAGTCCTGCAAACCCACATCTAGCCCCACGATTCCCACACACATAAATAGGCTTTTTTTAAATTTATTTTATAAGCCCAAAAAATTTAACTCACGTTTTATGTTGATGCTGTTATGAAGTGTTTGATACTAGGACTACTACTCCTAAGAAACTAACTACAGTAGTGAGAAACACTCCCACAAAGAAATACAAGGTCATGCACAAAGTCTGATTCTTTGTACGCCGCCATCGGAATGCAAGCATGCCTCTGCGAAGACAGAAGTAGATCACATACTAAAATAGCAAACTGGATATTTTTAGATACACATTCCTTGGTAATGAAGATGCTGTTAATGTTCACCTATTATTTCAATTCAGAGAAGATCAGTCTTAACTTCATTGATAAGAATGCTATGGTGCTTGTTTTTCCGTTTGTGATAATTATCTAGTAGGGAGGGAGAAATTTTAGTTTAATATGTTCTGTTTTGTTTTTGTTTCGTCTTGCAGGTTTCTACTATCAATCCCTGCAATTTAGTTTTTCTGAATCACTTTGTGCTCTCATTCTGCACAAATTTATATGATGTAGTCTTTACCAGTAGAAAGACTTAATAATTAACCTAACTATGGAGTAGTATACTACTGTTGCACAGCAGTCCATCATGTATGTAAAATGCAGGAAAAGCACTAAATTGCTCTCCTCGGATTACTAAGTAGAGCAATTGCTCTCCTTGAAAATGTCCCAATTGAATAAACACTGCACAATCCTCGAATAAACTCCCACTTCAGAGCCCCAGTTGGAGTAAAGCCTGTCAAAGAAACACCCTGAGGACACAAAATATCATGTTTTTTGTGTCACATGTGCCGCACCTATTTTTAATCTCCAAACTGTTCTCAAAATGTTAATTTTCGATTGTGTGGGTTTCAACAATAATGCTAGTTAAGTTTATTCATATTTAATATTATAAAATACTTAATGAGCATATTTATCTATTATTCACTCCATAAATTTTAATATTATTATGGTGACTACCAAAAGTGGATATTTACCTAAAAAGATTCTATGCATAAGTTCAAGAATGGGCAGTTTGGCAGATGACGTATGCCCTTTCTACAGTTAAATTACAGTAAAAAGTTTTTTATAGCACATACTAATTTCATATTTTTCCTGGAGTCATTTAGTTTCCTGGTAAATCGAGGAGCATGGTTAATTGCTCTCCTGAATGAGTGTTCAAGTAGCACGATTGCCCTCCTTAAAAATGGTGGACTGGCACAGTAAACTCTTATAATGAAGGGCGATTGTTTTTTGTATTTTCCTGATCACTTGATCACAGAGTCAAAAAATGCCATGGTGTGACGCACAACTAACCAAACACCTGACCACATGATTTGCTTAGGCCTTAGGCCCTTAAAAAATTAATATGGCATACCAGCAAACATTTTGAGATCTTGTGTTATGTGAAGTGATATTATTTATTACACTTCAGTACCATACTAATATATTTAATAATACAGTACAAACACCAAAATTATCTGCACTCACTGTCACTTGTATACCAACCCTGGGGGGGGGGGGAGGGGTGCAGCAGCCACTCCAAAACATGATACACTTGCTCTACCTATTTTACTGGTGTCGGTTGAACTACTATTACGGCCATGTAACCTACCAAATTAAACTTGCACTGGTTCCCGATGGCAAATAAGACCACGGTTCTGTCTGTTCCCGATCCCTACTGTTTGTGGCTATGTATCAACGGTAGGTTTACAGGTTTAACACGGAGGTTAGCAAAAAATCTTCGCTAAAATCTTGTGAAAAATTATGCTACTTTGATATGGGACGGAGCAGGAACTTTAACTACCAATTTTAACTAGGTATTTCCCACACTTGTGCTACCAAGTCCTCAAATATACCCTATACATAATGAAACTCTTCCATAAATTCCCACACTTGTGCTACCAAGTCCTCAAAATTACCCCCCGCAAATGCGGCATCTACCCGTATAGAAATATTTAAGAGTGAGTCCCTGGGTCATTTTGCAATTGGGAGATTCGTAATTGGGAGATGCTGTTACATTGCACAAAAAAAATAAGTCAAATATCAATATTTTTGACCCAACAACTTAATTATTGATTTTTTCCAAATGTTAACTTGTGACTTTGGGTTTTGTGGGAACATGTATGATAAATATTTCACTTTGAATCCTAATTCTATTTTACTTCAATTCAGAGAATTTTATTCAAATGAATTTTTTACTATATTTGAATATGCCCTGCTAAGGTGGTAAGTAATCTGTGCAATGGTTACCTTTTAACCACTGGAGGCTTGGCTGCAGCATTAGGTTGTGCTTCTGCTTGTTGTAAGCTTGAAATAAGTGTTTCTTCATTTGACTGATCAACCTACAAGATTAATAAGATGATTTCCTTTCAATCTTCACTCAATTGTGAGAAAACTAAACTAAATGTACTATATTTTATGCAAGTGTAAAAAACTGGTTTTATGCAAGGTAGAAACTGATAAAACACAAGCATAATATTAAACTAGAAATTGCAAATTGCAAGTGAAGTGCTGCGAAGTACAACTGCATAAAATGTTCTTCGAACAAAATTATTAAGCGAATCAAGTGAAAATAATGAATAATAAAAATATAACAAATAATATGAGCACGACCCATTGTCAATATTAGAACAGCGTTGGTACCGTGTACAATAGTGTTTTGCTGCAGTGACATCTCTCTGCTGGCGACTCGCTGCTGCTGCTGCTGGCGATGACTCGCTGCTGGCGAATCGATCTGCGCATGTG